TTTTTTTTTTAATAGAACTTTATGTTTGCCTTTTAAAGTTTATTGGTTATTCCTTAATGCAATGCCTTGGAATTTCTTTTGTAATTTTTTCGTCCATTAAATATTTCATGGTATGTAAGCAAATGCTAAACTAAGGGCTACTTGAAGGGATATTGTGATTACTTAGTAAGGAGAATAATTTCACCTTGTTTTATTTGTTGATTAGGTTTTATTGTGAAATCGTTTAATTTTGTGCCTGGCTCCACCCTTAAGGTCCCCGCCCCATACTGGTAATTTAGTACTCAAGTGGCGTGGTCAAGAGGCCCCCTCTTACCTAAGCAGTTTGAAGCCTTCCACTCTCCCAGATCCCAGAGCTTTTGCTTTGTTTTCCTTCTAATCTAAATCCCAGCATTCTTCAATACCTGGCAAATGCCTTTTCTCTTTCAGGAAGCCATCTGACCACCTTTATTTCTATATGTTTTGAAGCCCAAGTGCCAGAGCTTATTTGGGAAATTGATGTTCTTTGGTTTCAAAAAACACAGAATCTAGAGGAGACAGAGAAATACAGTAACAAAAGAGTACTCAGTACTTATACCAGGGGCATACAGGGCCTGTAGGAACACAGAGGAGGCTCCTAACTAGCAGAGTGGGTGGTGGGGCCTGTTGAGGTCATTTCAGTACCCATGAGTCTTGAGTCCCCAGCTAGACTGGGCAATTCTTAGAGGAGGGTGGGGATGCCAACATGAGAAACACGTTGGCCTGTTCTTTGCTCAGAGATAAGTCTGGTTATGTCCTTAGTGGGGCTGAAGTGAAATTACTGAGCCTAGATTATGAGCCTACCTTCTTACCCTTCCCTCAGCATCTGCCCTACTGGGCTAATTACTAATACTCTTTTTTCCCCCAAGATGAAATGTGGCAACTGTGGTGAGATTTCAGAGAAGTGGCAATACATTCGGCTGATGGTAACTGCTCCCCCCACCACCATACCCACACCCACATGTACATATCTGGATAGGGATATGGGGACCCTGTGACCCTAATCTCTGTGGTCTTTGGATCTTGCTTTTTGTGGCTTGGGAGGGCAGGCATTAGTCTGATCAACACTGGGAACAGCAGGCTTCTTTGGGGTTTGAGGCAGAGTTCAAAATCAAGGGGAAGCCCTTTTCCTCAGTCTCAAGAAGCCTCCCCAAGATTCTTGTCCTAGCAAGTCCCTCACCTTCTCTGGGTCTTGGTCTCTTCAACTGGATAATAAGTGATGGGACTGGATATCTTCAGGACCCTATGTCTAATTGATATGTGACTAGAGGTTCTGTTTACTTCTTGCTAGGACAGTGTGGCACTGAAGGGAGGCCGTGGCAGTGCCTCCATGGTCCAGAAGTGTAAGCTGTGCTCAAGGGAAAACTCCATCGGTAGGTCAGGCTGTGAATACTGAGCTTGGTCAGGCTACCCCTAGCTTCCTGGCACCAGACCAAAAGCAGGCCCATGTTACCTGTGGGTGGACCCAAGCCTAACATATGCAAGCTCCTGCAGCAGACTCTCTCCCAGAGCCCCATCTGGGGACCTGCGGCACGGCCAAGGTATGGATTCATGTCAACTTTGTCCTCTGTTTTATGTTTCAGAGATTTTGAGCAGCACCATCAAATCTTACAACGTAAGTTGCCTGCTATAATGGCAGGCATGGTAGGATTAAACCTAAGCTGGGAGCTGGGAGGCCTGGGTTTTACAGTTACAGTTGCACCACAGTGACCTGCCATAGGACATTCATTCATGTGCTTATTTGTTCTTCATTCACTGACTCATCTAGCAGTTGTGTGTTCACCATACACTGACTGGTAAGGAAAAGACTCATAAACAGGCTATTGCAGTGCCTTTTTGTACGTGCTGGGCTGTGGGAGCTTAGGGAACCTCTGATCCAACCTGGCCACTCAGTTTCCATGCTTCCCTGGGAGCACATGCCTTATCTACATCTTAGGGAGAACTAGTGAGCCCTTCTCCGAAACCATGGGTGGGATAGTCCTTTTAATGGTACATCCCATCCTTGATATTGTGCATGTTATTATGTAGTTATACATTATTGTATAACATTAAGTCCAAAGCTGAGGGAGGGTGTGTTTGCTTTGGACTGTTTGTTTAAAGAAGGGCAGTTAACTTGTATTTATCCATTTCTTATTTGGTATTTTTGAAAAATGTCTCATTTATGCCAGATTCTCAGCTTTGTCCTGAAGATTAAGAGAGAAACGAGAACCTGCCCTCAAGTATAAATCATAATCTAGTAGAAGAGAGAGTAGCAAACAAAAAACACGCCAGGGCCAACAGAGAAGTGCCTCATCAGTGCCAGGCACATTTGGTGTGCAGGATATCATTATACAGTGAATGATAGAACAAGAGTGAGTGTGTGGGAATGGCACTTGGGGTCTCTGACCGATGGGTGAGGTAGGCATGAATTTCCTGGCTACACCACCCCTCTCAGAGGTGCCCCCTCCACAAGCAAATATCAGTCAGCCGCCTGCCTTCACAACCTGGCAGATGGTTAACAAAGGGCTGCAGGTAAGTATCATGGGCCGTTTGGATGATCTGGAGACCTTGTAGCTTAATGTTCTTGCTCATATTTGTGATCTTGATCATTTTATTTACCATTTATTGAGCACAGTGTTGGGCTGTCTGCTAGGCACTTTTACATATATTTCATATTCTCACAGTAAGCCTATAATGGTTTCCTCAGCTTCATTTGACAGCCCAGAGGGGAAGAAAGCCAGAGCTCTGCCTCACATCCAGGCAGGTGGACTCGAGTCCATACTCTGTTCTGCATGCAGCATCCCTGTCCAAGGTCTCATGGGGGTCAGGTGCTCAGGGCAGGCTTCTTCCAGAAGAGGATGAGGTGCTCCTGAGTCCCATTCTGGGCTCACAGGGGCAGTAAGGGTCTGCTTGACAGGAAGGAGAAGGACAATGGGGTCATCCTGAGGGCCCAGTTGGGCCCACCTCCTCAATATCCTTTCTTTCTAGGCTGAAGACAATGAGAAGTTCAAGACAATAGTAGAATTTGAGTGCCGGGGCCTCGAACCAGTTGATTTCCAGCCCCAGGTATGTGTGACTTCCTGGGGATCCTGTACCTTTGGGGAGGGCCTATAGAAAGTCACAACAGAACTTTACTTCCTACAGAGACTATGGACTAGGAACTCTCTTTTCTAATAATTATTATTATTAATTAAGTGCCTACCATATGTTGGACACCATACTGGTCACTTTTACATGTTACTGTATTTAGTCCTCACAGTGACACTGTAAAGTTATTCATCCTGTTTTTCAGATGAGGAAAGAACTTCAGAGATTTTGCAGCTTGCTCAGGGTTAGTAAGCAGCAGAACTATATTTGAACCCAGGTCTGTCTGACTCCAGAGCCAGTGCTCATCCCACTTTATTGGTGCAGCATTTACAACTCACAACAAGCCTGTGAGGTAGGCAGAAGAGCTAGTATTGTCATCCCCATTTCGTAAATAAGAGGGGAGTGACATGCCCAGGGTCTTTCAGTCAGGGCTAGTGGAAGGGTTTACCCCACACCGTCTGCCTTCTGGTCCAGGCCTCTAACTGGGGGAACCATTCTAGTCCCAGGGCAGCTGCCAGGCTCTGGAGGCTCAGTAGTTATTCCAGAACAGCTGCCCACACTGCATCTCTGTCCTTCCTTCCCAAAGATGTGAGAAAAGCCAGTTCCCTGGCCAGGCCTCACATGCCTCCTTTCCCTCAGATTAACTGCTGCCTTCTTGTCACCTGCAGGCTGGGTTTGCCGCTGAGGGCGTGGAATCGGGGACAATCTTCAGTGACATTAATCTGCAGGAGAAGGTACAGGACTTGGGGGCCTTGCAGGGTGCTGTGGGGCATCTGGTGGAAATTACCTTTTTGATGAACAAGGCTCATCAATGGAAAACTGACTTTATATCTTTGTGCTTTTTGTTGGTGATTGGGGGTTTAAGATGGCCCCAAGTGTAGTGTTGAAGTGCTATCTGGTATTCCATGTGCAAGAAGGCTGGGATGTGCCTGCTGGAAAAAATACAGGTTAGATAAGTTTTGTTTAGGCAGGAGTTACAGTGCTGTTGGCAGTGAGTTCAATTTTAATGAATTGGCAATATATTAAAAAGGTGTTTTTAAACAGAAACATACAAGAAGCAAGGTTATGTATTGATCGGTTGAAGAAAATGTTGTGATCTAATGTTCCCAGGAACCTAACCTTGTATTTTTTCTGGGAGCAGTGGTTCAGTATTCACTAATTCAGTGTTTGTGGTGACTTTGTAGAACATTACTACGAATAATGAGAATCTACTGTATTACTGGACATGTTACTGCTTTGTAGATAAGGAAGCCTTGTGCTCAGGCTCCAAAGGAAGAAAGGACAGAAACTTCAATTTGCATAGCATCTAATAATAACACTAACTGGAATTTACTGAGCTTTTGTATGTGCCTGGCACTATGCTAAATACTTTTACACATTACCTTATTTGATTCTTTCAATATTCAACATGCATTCTATTGTTGTTCCTCCCTTCTTTTTTTTAAAATAGAAGACAGCACTGAGGATCAGAATGATTAAGTGACTTGCCCAAAAATCACAAAGCTAGAAGAGCTAGAATTCACACCTGAGCAGTCTGGCTCTGTTCTGGGTCATACATGTTCATGAATATCTGAGTCAGAGCCCGAACTGAGCCTTGTAAGTCCCAGTGTTCCTCACTGTCCCAGGCTGCCTCATGAGGCTAATACTGCCTTTTTTATTTTTCATAGGACTGGACTGAATATGATGAAAAGGCTCAGGAGTCTGTGGGAATCTACGAGGTGACCCACCAGTTTGTGAAGTGCTGAACCCTCTTCCTGCACACTTGCCTCTAAGAACTGAGAAGGGACAATGTGCCCCAAGCAGCAGAGCCCACTGAGGCTCATCCCCTCATCCCTTGTTTCCTGGCAGCTCTCCAAGCCCTCAGTCTGCATGCTGGGCTCTGTCACAGCTTCCAGGCCCCACCAATAAAGCCCCCGTTTGTGCTGTACTTGTACACGAAGGTAGTCAGGTAGCAGCCACTCCCTCCACAAATAAGAATTCATGTTGGAGGTCTTACTGCTTCCTGACACCTTCCCACAATAAGAATCTTACACTTGATCCAATTTGCAAACTACGTAGGAGCACACAGCTTCTAAGGGCTCTCTAGCTCTTGGGGAGTGGGCAAGTCAACCCAGGAGACCAAAGGTGTCAAGGCCAATGGTACAAAGTGCAGCTGAGCCTGTGGAATGATGCCATGAGCACAACAGTCCTGAGCCAAGACACTGCATTGACCAGCTTGGCTCTCAAGGAAACACAGGCATCTCTGTTAGCTGGTGTCATTTAATATCCCAGGGCCAGAAGGGACTGTAGAGATCAGCAGTCCAGTCCTGGCATGAATCTGCTCTATAAAATATTGACCAGATGGTCATTAGGTCTCTGCTCACTTGCTGTGATGGGGCAGCCTCCTCCCGTCAGGGAAGTCAGTATGAAAATTCTTACCCCGAGTCAGCTTCCTGTGGCTCCTGAGGTCCTAGTTTGTCCCCTTTGTGACACACTTCGTATTCTCCCCCCTGGACAGCTCTGGAGATGTGAAGACAACAGTCACGGGCCTGGCTCCCTGGGTCTGAAGATCCCACACACACTGGACAGTTATTCAGTGCACAGTTAGGTCATGAGGGCGTGCTCATGCCTTCAAACTGTTGAACCTACCACTTGGAAAACCTGTTACAAGAGACCTTATTTCTCCAGTGTTCTGCTCAAGCCTGGAATTCTTTGGAAGTTAAAATACCTTCATTTTCTGAATGGCCTACAGGGAAAGGGTCTGCCCACTCTCAGGCTGAATGTGAGGCACTAGGAAAGGCATCCTCTGACTTCCAGTAAAGGTGGCTGTGCCCAAGGGTGGTGAAGAGTTACTTACCTTGTACCCTTTCCAGTCTGGCAGCTACATCATGTTTCCTCTAAGTCCCCTGTGTTCCTGGCTCCTGGGCCTGTTCTTTTTGGCACCTGACAAAAACGGCTTCTTTGCCCCTCCTTCCCAGCAAGTCCACTCACTGGGTCTAAGGCACAGCCCAGCCTGAAAGCAAGGGGAAGCTCAGGCTGGATGAGCAGACTTTTTGGTTTTTAGTCTCTTTACCAGCTAGTGTGTGTTAAGCTTATGGACAAACACTAAAAGGACCTCAGTGTTTATATTTTAAATTATTTTCTCACCTTTCAGGAGGTAGAGGAACGCAAATAATCATTAACATTAAAAGAAAAAGTAGAGTATGTCAATAGATGCAGAAAAAGTATTCAGTAAAATTCAGTATCCATTCAACAGCAAAAACCACCACAGAAACTTAGCAAACTAGGAATAGAAAGGAACTACCCTCACTTCCTAAAGGATAGCTACAGAAAACCTATAGCAGATGTGTTTGAAGTATTCAAGATGAGGGTTAGGAGAGGATACCATCAATCACTCTTATTTATTGTGCTTTAGGGTTCCATACTGTGATAAGACAATAAAAAGGAAGGTGAAAGGATTAAAAAGAATTTTTCAATGATTTTCCACTTAGCAAATCCAAAAGCATTAAGTGCTGGATTTAAGATCAATATACAAAAATCAAATGTATTTTGGTACACTGGCAACATGCAAAATATAAAAGTATTTTAAATAGCAACAAAAGCCCCCAAAAGTAACTAGGAATTAGATCTATCAAAGAGGTGCCAGACCAGCAGAGGCAGCAGCTGGAGCAGCCGCAGCTGCGGCCTTGCCCATCTGCCTGCCCCGGGTCTCTTTCCCCCTTCCTCCTTCGCTCGCCCCGCGGGGGGCCCCCTTCACCTTCCCGCCCACTTCCCTTTTCCCCTCAGTCGCCTCCCGCCTGCAGTTTTTGGCTTTCACCCCCACCAGTGACCAAAGACTTGACCACTCAAAGTCCAGCTCCCCAGAACACTGCTCGACATAAGACACCGGTGTGATTGAAGGTGGATTAAACGTCACTCTCACCATCCGGCTACTTACGCATGGAAAGGAAGTAGGCAGTATCATCGGAAAGAAAGAATCAGTTAAGAAGATGCGCGCGTATCAACATCTCAGAAGGGAATTGTCCTGAGAGAATTATCACTAATGCCATCTTCAAAGCCTTTGCTATGATCGTTGACAAACTAGAAGAGGACATTAGCAGCTCTATGACCAATAGCACAGCTGCCAGTAGACCCCCAGTCACCCTAAGGCTGGTGGTCCCTGCTAGTCAGTGTGGCTCTCTCATTGGGAAAGGTGGTTGCAAGATCAAGGAAATAAGAGAGTACAGGGGCTCAGGTCCAGGTGGCAGGGGATATGCTCCCCACCTCAACTGAGTGGACCATCACTATTGCTGGCATTCCACAATCCATCATTGAGTATGTGAAACAGATCTGCGTGGTCATGTTGGAGTCCCGTCCCCCCCACCCCCCACCCCCGAAAGGGCATGACCATCCCGTTCTGGCCCAAGCTGTCCAGTTCTCCAGGCATCTTTGCAGGTGGTCAGGACAGGTACAGCACAGGCAGCGACAATGCGAGCTTTCCCCACTCCACCCCGTCCATGTGCCTCAACCCTGACCTGGAGGGACCACCTCTAGAGGCCTGTGCCATTCAAGGACAGTATGCCATTCCACAGCCAGATTTGACCAAGTTGCACCAGTTGGCAATGCAGCAGTCTCATTTTCCCATGACACATGGCAACACCGGATTCAGTGCAGGTTTGGATGCATCTGCTCAGACTACTTCTCATGAACTCACCATTCCAAATGATTTGATTGGCTGCATAATCGGGCGTCAGGGCGCCAAAATCAATGCGATCCGTCAGATGGGGCGCAGATCAAAATTGCGAACCCAGTGGAAGGATCTACTGATAGGCAGGTTACCATCACTGGATCTGCTGCTAGCATTAGCCTGGCTCAATATCTAATCAATGTCAGGCTTTCTTCGGAGACGGGTGGCATGGGGAGCAGCTAGAACAATGCAGATTCATCCATAATCCCTTTCTGCTGTTCACCACCACCCATGATCCATCCATCTGTGTAGTTTCTAAACAGTCAAAGCGATTCCAGGTTTTAAAATAGTTTGTAAATTTTCAGTTTCTACACACTATCATCCACTCATGATTTTTTAATTAAAGCGTTTTAATTCCTTTAAAAAAAAATCTATCAAAGAGGTTCATGCCCTTAATGGAGAATATTATTAAACTTTACTGAATTATAGTAAAGCCTAAATAAGTGGAGACCTATACTGTTATTAATAGATAGGAAGATATTATAAAGATGATCATTTACTACAAATATTTATAAAATTGTTGAAATCTCAACTTTTTTTAACAACTGGATTCTGAAATCTGTATGATACAACAGGTGGGAGACTTCCTCTATCAGATATCATGATGTACTCATAAAGCAGTGACAAGCCAGTATGTTTTTGGCAATGTGATACTAAAAGACCAATGGCACAGTAGTCTTTTGTATGTATGTTTGTATGAAAACTGGTTAGACAGGTGGTGGTGCAGATCATGGGGAAATTAACCTGAATGGTGCTGAGGCAATTGTTTAACTTTGTGCGAAAAAATTGGGACCCTACTTCACACCGCACACAAGCCTATTCCAAGGTTAGTTGTCTTGAGTGTTTTGGTGCAGCAGTGTATTGGGGTAGAAGAGACCTGGGCTTGCTCACTGTAAACCCCTGGGCAAGTATCATCAAGTGAGGACCTGGTGGAACCAGAAGTTCAGGTATTCCTGATTGTGGTTCATGAACAAGAGCAGCATTTTGTTTTTAGGTGCATTGGCAGCCATCAAATGTCTGATCAAAAACGGAATACAGAGAACCTGATACCCGTTGGGTATTCATTAAATAATTACTGAGTGAAGGATGGGTAGAATCAGCTAAGATGTGATGGAATGTTTATAAGGAGGATGAAATGAGATAATGCATTGGAAATGCTTGGCAACTGGCTCAAACCAAAATAACAGCTGTCCAGTAACTCGCTGGGCAAGCGACTGGGAATGCAGGTAAAACCATTCTTTTTCAAAAAAACACCCTTTTGTGGTACAGCAGTGTTCTAACAGTAAGTTGTAAAATTCTGTGTTCATGTCACTCCATGGAGAAGTTTCAAATACAAAATGTACAGTAATTGCTTCTACGTTAGGCCATAATTAGTACATGAGATTCAACTGGTTAAAACAAACACATACCAATTATAAATCTTCCTTTGGCTGGAACAATAGTAAAATGGCACTTCCTAAATCCATTGGAATAACTTTGATTGCAGCAGGACTATCAGAATCAGGCATCAGCAGTTTACTGCTTAGAAAAATGAAGAGGATTTTTAGAGAGGATGTCCCAGGAGAGAGGCTAGTTTATAGAGAGGATGAAACAGCATTTTCCGCCATCAGAAGAGCCAGGAGCCACTTACTATTACCTGAACTTACTGTTGGAAAGTTCTTTGTGGGGATAGGAAATTAGGTTTAAAAAAACAAACAAACAAACAAAAAACCCCAAGAGGAACCATCTCTAAGCAATAATTTTATTTTCTGCCTCAATAATAAATACACCTGAGTTATTTTTCCAACTCCTACCACCTGATCAAGTGCCCTTAAAACTGAAATCTCACATTAGCCATGATCTAGACCCACTCAGAAAATATATGTTTAGCTTTAAAACCATGATCTTAAAGCTCAAGCTTTACAGCACTGAGTGCTCAGGCACCTCATGATTAGTTTCATTAGTCACAGAATAGCACCTGTTAGCTACAAAGGCCTCAACTTCCATGTCAATGAAGCGATGGAGGCTTTTAACCTGCCCAAAAGCTAAGATTTGATGGATTTGCCTTCTATGGCATCAAACATGTCTTCTAAGGCCTTCTCCACACATTGGAGAAATTCCCGGGCATTGCGACCTGGGTAGGAGGAGACATTGCAGCCTATCCAGTTGTCATGAACAGCATACCCAATGCCAAAGCCATTAGAGACCACAGGGGCAAAGCCGCCGACATTCACTGCTGGGCTGCTCAGCGTGCTTGTGGACAGGATGTTGTGGTTTATCTGCCCATATGCAGGGTCCAGGAATAGCTCAGGCAGGACAATTCCTTTAGCTGCCGCCAGGTATCGCAGAGCAAATAAGTGTCGGTCAAAGCCCTGGCCTGTCAGAGACAAAATGAAAAGCCAGAGTCTCAGAATCTCAGAACTGAAAGGGATCTTAGTAAAAACCCCCCACCCATGAAGGAGTCCCCTTCACAGCATCCTTGAGCATGGAAGAAGGGACTGCCTGCCTCTGCCTGCGCACCTCCAGGTCACTAACCTGTGCAGCAGTTCATTCTAGAATATTTCCTTAAAAAAGCTGTCAACAGCTAAACTAAAATGAGCCTAAAATGAAAACATGATTTTTAAAAGTCTGAAACTAAATTAGTTTAGTCAAACAGTCAAGAAAAGTACGTGAAGAGAGCTATGGACTCAAATACTAAAATAAAACCCAAAATCCAAGTCAAGTGTAAAAGACAACATTGAGTCAGTGGAACAAAATGGCAAGGGTTCGAATCTCAGCTTTACTGCTAATTTGCTGTGTAACCCTGGGCCAGTGGCCTCAGTTGCCTGCCTATAAAATGGGGAAGGACGAGACCAGAATGGCTTGGAGGTTCCTTTCAGTTCCAGGACTTTGGCTACATGAAAGAATTGGACTATGTGATCCTCCAGGTCCTTTCCTGGTCTCAAATTTTACTACAAAGAGGCAAAAAAGGATGACACTTAGATTTGGGAAGACCTTCTGAGATGGCCTATGTACAGGGAGCCAACACACTGTATCTGAGGTAAAGTAAGAGGGGCTGTGGGCTTAGAAATCCTCAATCGTCAAAACTGAGTCTGATGACCAATAAATAATCGAGAATTGTGTCACACCTGAAAGTGACCTTAAATGAGGATGAGATTAGATGCATTTTCCTATCCCTGCTTAGGAAGAGAGAACATTCTGATCCCTAGAGGCTCGTCTAGCTGTTTGGGCTATTAGGTAGAAAAAAATAATCACCTGTGAGTGGCAGATGGCGTAAACCTAGTGATGGGGTGGAAATCAGATGTGGGTAGAATATTATCGAGGCTTACCCTCGTGCTGAGGGCAATGAGACCCAAGGGCACGCTCCCCACCCCATCTCACCCATTGCTGCTTCTTTGGTCAGCTGGTTGTGGTATTTCGAGCACTCGGCTATCATCTGCTGAAGCTCTCCAGCACTGTGCTTGGAGGGCTCCCTGACAAAGGCCTCGGAGCACCTCTTTGTGAAGACGGAGGCGGGGCGGATGGTCTCAGTGCGGCCATGCTTGAATGCTGCAGTGCTGCAGGACTCGTAGGTGGCCACCGTCTGCCCATACTGCCGCAGAAAGGCCATCTGGAAGGCCAGCTGGGCCACCGAGTCAGGGCTCAGCTTCTGCTTCTTCAAGAATTCTTTGCCACCTCTCTGAAATTGGATAAAGTCAATGGTGAGGGTTTTCATAGTGGCATCAAACTTTTCCTTAGCAGCACTAATGCCAGTCTTTAAGGCGTCGTTCAGCTTGAAGTTGAGTTTCTGCACAGCAGCAGAAGAGTCGGTGCTGGCCGGCTGGCTCTGTGGAGTGATGGCAGGGGCCTGAGTGCTGTCTTTAAATACTTCGTTGAAAAACCTGAGCACTGCAACACCATCGCCCCAAGCATGCTCAAAGTGGACAGCAGCAGTGCCATCCTTGGCTATAATGAGGTTAAAGGATTTATCAAACCAGCGGTTTGTGCCATCACCATGCAGCATGTTGTGGGACAAGTGGACAAGGTCCTTAATGGGGAAGTCATCTAGGCAGAGACAGAACACGGCGGAGTCCACTTTCCTCAGGGTCTCTTCATTGCCCCCACTCACCAGCTTTTGCCTGAGCTCTGCCCAGACATCTCGGTTCTCACTGGTCAAATATGCCAGTGGAAACTCAGGGGCAGGGCTATTGTCTGAGAGAATGTACTTCAGATGAGCCTGAATTTCAGAGGCGCTCACAATGTTCCCATCTTGATCCAGGACATCAAAGACATAGAAGTGTCCTTTTCTTAGGACCAGGAGGTGTCTGGCTTTATCATCAGTGAAAAGTTCATCCCGGCTGGGTTTAGGTAAACGAGTTGAATTGAAAAGGCGAAAATACTGGGACATATCCAGAGGATATGCATTAACCAAGTAGGCACCATACCAAGATAGAGAGGAAGGCACAAAGCGTATGAGTCTCTTGAAGGTATCAGTGTCACTTTTGGCAGGGTTCAAGTGAAACACTTCTGGCTCCAAAAGGCCATCCCGGAGTGTCTTCAGAAACCGGATGGCAGAAACAGTCATGTTGGTCGCTCGGGTGAGCTGGTCATTATACTCAGACTTTGGGTCAGGGTTGAATGCCATAAATGGATTAAAGTTCAGGACAACGGAGTCTCGAGCAGTTAAGTACATATCAAACCAGGGGCCTAAAATATGAAAATAAAAAACAACATAAATGCAGAAGAAATGGCATCAACCTCCAGAGGGTCAAATTTCCTGATTATATTTTTGATCTGCAATAATTCATGTTATATAAACAGGATCATACAATATGTGGTCTTTTGCAACTGGCTTCTATCACTTACAACGTTTTTGTGGTTCATCCACGCTGTAGCATATATAAGCTCATTTCTTTTTATTGCTGAATAATATTTCACTATATGTGTATACCACATTTTGTTTATCCATTCATCAGTTGATGGACATTTGGGTTGCTTCCATTTCTTGGTTATTATGAATAATGCTGGTATACACAAGTTTTATGTGGATGTAGACATATGTTCTCAATTCTCTCAAGGATATAGCTAGATGTGGAATTGCTAGGTCATATGATAAGTCTACGTTTAACCTTTTGAGGAACTACTAGGGTGTTTTCCAAAGTAGCTGCACCATTACCACCAGCAGCGTATGAGGGTTCCAATTTCTCCACATCCTTGGCAACATTTATTATTGTTATTGTCTGTCTTTTTGGTTGGAGCTATTCTGGTAGGTAACCATCATTGTGGTTTTGATTTGTATTTCCCTAATGTTTATTAATTGCCTTTTCTTCATTCTATTTCCTTTCTTGACTCTTAAAGGAATAAAATACCTCACCTGTATTCGTGCTGAAACGTAATAGTTGTTAATTCCCATCCCATCTCCTTAGGTTTCTCATTTCATCTCCCTTCAGGGACAACATTCACACTTGACTGTCTCCCTAATATGGGGAAAGTCTTCTGTGTACTATGTACATTTGTGCACTCTCTCTTTTAGGAAATGCTCTTAAAGCAGTTAAAAATAACTATTTGTGCATGTGGACCATTCAAATTAGCCCTCTGCATTCCTGTGGATGTTTTGCTTGTAAAAATTCCAGAAGCATTATTTTATCAGAAAATGTGTCTTCAAGGGAAGTTCCTGCTGGGATTAGCAAGCATGGATGAACTCTACAAATAAGGAGGACGGTCTTCCATTAGGGGAAATAATTTTCACATGTAAAGCATGGGGGAAAGGATTAATGGACACAAACTTATCTATTATTCATTTGTTGGTCCATTCTTTCCTTGAGAATCAGTGCTGTGCCAGGCCCTGGTCCAGGGGATATAGAGAGGAACAGGACATGGAGTTTGATTTGGGAGAACTCTACTGAAGGAAACAAACAGAATTAAAACATAATACGATGCACTAAAATGGTAAGAGAATAGAAGTATGGGGGGAGCGGGTAAGATATCTTGGAAGAAAAAATACATGAATTTATGCCTCTGAACCATTCAGTAAAAGAATTTTAAAGACACATAAACCAATAAGGCAAAGAGAATGAGAGAGGAGAAAAGAGTGAATATCAGAAGTTGAAAACATTGAGGCATCTGGTAATGACTAAAACTAACTCAAGAGGGCCAACCTTAAGCTGGCAGCAGAGAAAGCCAAGAAATAATATGATCCAGAGGGCTCAGGAATTGGCAGCCTAGATCTATGTGGTTAAAAGACTATGTAATTAGACCCCCAGTGCCACCCCTCAAATATCCTCCCCACTCCAGTGGCAGATTTAAGTTTTATTCCCTGGAGAAAGTAACATTAGGGGACAGAAATCACACTTGAGATCTCAAGCTTTCTTCCCTTATCCCACTCCTACAACACTAGTGACCAGGAAAATACCTTTTGGCAATTGACTGGAAAAGCCTTTCCTGGGAGCCTAACCCACAGACACTAACTTTAACGTCGCCCAAGGAAATAGTTTAGCCAGATCACATTAGTGAAGCTGTGACTGACAAGCCCCACCCTTGTCCATAAGAGTTTTTGTTTTGTTTTTCATTTTATTGGGGAACAGCCATGGTCATTGGTTACACACTGCTTTCATGCTACAATGGCATAGTTGACTCTTTTAAGGAGGGTGCAGCTCACAGTGGCCCATGCAGGGATTGAACCAGCAACCTTGGTGTTATCAGCACCACACTGTAACCAGCTGAGCTAACCAATCAGCCCCCCAAAAGCTTTTTAATGTCTCATTTGTATCCAAGACAACAGAGAAGGATTATGAAGCATCTGAAGAAAGAGGACAAAACAAACAGGAAAAAGCAACTTGGAGACAGACTATGAAGAAAGATGAGAACTTAAAAAAAAAAAACCCAGATAAACTATTAAGGACATAGAAAGCTAAACATAAGAAAGTATAAAATAATTATTAACTTGAGAGAAAACGAAAAGTTCACATGGGAAAGGAAAAACAATCCCAATGTGCTATACAACGCAGCTGACAATAGCATTTACATGCTCATAATAGTGTTAACACTAAATACTGAGCTAATCTAAATGACTAATAACTACATTGTGAAAATAAGGGGATAGGCAATGTGCATGTATGTGGTGGGGATATAAGAGACTGCTAAATTCTAATCTTCTCTAGTGAGATGTCAATAAATAATGCCTAAAACTAAAAAAGTTAAGATGCATCAATATAAGTGTGTAATTTAGATAATGAGGATACGTTATCAAAAGAATCAGGGGCCAGTGGAGTGGCTCGGTTGGTTAAGAGCGCGAGCTCTGAGCAACAGGGTCACCGGTTCGATTCCCATGAGCCAGTGAGCTGTGCCCGAGCTGAGCTGCTGCTGAGCTGCCAAAAGGTGGCAGGATGGCTCAGTTGGTGAGAGCACGTGCTCCTAACAACAAGGTTTCTGGTTCAACTCCCGCATGGAATGGTGGGCTACACCCACCCACAACTAAGATTGAACTGGCACCTTGAGCTGAGCGGCTGCGAGCTGCCAACGGGCAGCCGGATGGCGACTAGACTTGGAGCTGAGCCAGCTGCGCCCTCCACAACTAAGATTGAAGGACAACAACTTGGCTGTTTCCCTTCCCCAATTCCCCAACACTGTTCCCCTTTCCCAATTCCCCAATAAAATCTTAAAAAAAAAAAAATCAGATAGCAGCTGAAAGTGAGAAGTGGGAAATTAGGGGAGGGTCAGGAATTT